TGAATAAAAATAAAATCATACAACAACATTTATAGGATACAGCTATAGTATTACACAGAGGCAAATTTCTAGCACTAAAAGCTAATACCAGAAAAGAGGAAAGGTCTTAAATTTAAAGCACTTAGGTTACGAATCTAGATAAAAGAAAAATCCAAATCCCCAAACCTCTCAATAAAACAAAAAATGATTCTTTGGAAAGATCAAGGAATCAATCCAATCTCCTCCAGAAATTGCTCTCAGCAGGAAAGCAGGCTCCCTGGGGAGGAGCAGAGCTGCCTGCTGGCCCCTCCCACCTTTTTCAAGACACAACCTCTGGTTCAAATGTGGTCTGAAATTTTTTAGGAACATCAGAATACAAGTGACAGAAGGAGTGCCAGGGCATTAAGTACTGCTGTGCTCTCCAAGGAAGAGGTGGAAAAGCTCCAGAGGTCTCTTCTGTGGCCCAGCTAAGAGGACTTGCTCTGAGAATCAAGTAAGAAGAGAGGGAGGGCTGATGGAATGTGGCTTAGTGGTCTAGTATGTATGAAGCCCTGGGTTCGATTCCTCAGTACTACATATACAGAAAAGGCTGGAAGTGGCACTGTGGCTCAAGTGGTAGAGTGCTAGCCTTGAGCAAAAGAAGCTCAGGAACAGTGCCCAGGCCATGAGTTCAAGCTCCAGGACTGGCCAATCAATAAATAAATAAATAAAAGGAGGCAAAGCAATGTGAAGGGGACATCCTCCTGGGATAGCTCCCATCCCAGGAATTCAGCTGATTCAAGAAGCAAATTCAGAGCCTGGCATGTTATTTTCCACCTGTAATCCCAGCGCTTGGAAGGTGGAGGCAGCAGGACTTCAAGGCCAGTCTGGGCGAGATAAAGAGACCTTGCCTCAAAAAAAAAAATCAAAGGCTGGGGCTGGGAAGGTGACTCAGTGGTAGAGCGCTTGCCTTGCATGCATAAGGCCCTGGATTCGATTCCTCAGCACCACATAAGCAGAAAAACCCAGAAGTGGCACTCTGGATCAAGTGGTAGAGCCCTAGCCTTGATCTGAACAGCTGAGGGGCAGCACCCAGGCCCAGAGTTCAGGCCCCATGACTGGCAATCAATCAATCAATCAGTCATCAAAGCCTGGCTCTGATGATTCACATATAATACTAGCTATTCAGAAGGACTGAGGTATAAGATCAGCCCACACAAAAAATTAGCAAGACCCTATCTAAAATTAATAGTCTGGTATGGTGGCATGCCTCAGTAATCTCAGCTACTCAGGAGACCATATGTAGGAGGACCTTGGTCTAAGGTTGGCCTCAAGAAAAGAATGTAAGCTTCTATGTGAAAAATAGCTGAAGAGCAAAAAAAAAAAAAAAAAAAGAGCAGAGTGTGAACATGGCTCAAGTGGTAAAGCATCTGGACAGCAAGCACAAAGCCAAGTCAAACTCAAGTATCACCATACAACAAAACCCTACATGAGCCGGGATTTAACTCAATGCTGGGTTCAATTCCCATCAGGGGAAAACAAAATGCAATAAAATATTTTTGAAAAAAAGAATGCTCTACTTATGAGCTGTTCTGTTTTCCAAGGTGTCCAAGTCTGTACCCATTGAGTAGTGCCCCACTAAGACCCTGCTCCACAGTAGAGGGAAGGCCTGGGGGTAGGGTGGTAGAGGACCACTGACTTCCTTGCCCTGTGTACATTACAGCCTCTGGGCTGCTGCTGGCTGGCTTGTCTTCAGAGCTTGATTTCATGCCAGTTCTAGGCCTGCACACAACTGCTAGGCATTACTGCCCACAATGAGACTCCAGAGTTGTAGTAACTCGTTTCAGTAGGATAGTTAGGGGACCCAGCAAGAGTAGCCGGACTCCTTCCCTACACTGAACACCAGTTCCCTACGTTTCTGTCTGTTCTTGGAACTGTAACCAACTCCAAATTACTTGGAGTAAACACAACCTGCTACCTTGAAATGACAACTAAAATATCAGACCACAGGCTCAAAACATGGCTCGTGTGGTATGCTCTTGAGTTTAAAACCCAGGACTGCCAAAAACAACAACACCCGAATCAAAACAAAATGAGACCATGCTCCTCTTTGTGCCCCGCTCTTGAGCTCCACTACATACATGGAGATACATATGTCCTCTAGAGCTAACAGATACCTGGTCAAATAGGTAGACAGTGACGTCATCAAAAAATGTCACCGCCTTCTTTTCCTTCTTGCAGCTGCTGCTGTCACTGCCTCCACCGCCACCGCCACCGCCACCAGGCGGCCCCCCGCCCTCTGCTGCCGAGGGCTTCAGCAAACTGCGCAGGTGCCGGCCATCCTCGCTGTTGCTGATGATTACAGGCACTGGATGCTCAACATCATCTTCTGACTCGGAGCTCAGGCTGTGCAGGTTGAAGGCCCGCAGGTCATCATCTGAATCCTCGCTGTTCTCGTCTTCCTCATCTGCATCTATCCCATCCTCAGAGAGGTCGAGCATCCCGGACACCCCAAGTTTGCCCAGGTATTTGCCTTCAATATCTGGCTCCTTGAGCTTGGGGCCCTCAGCGTGGCCGGGCAAGGCCCTTTCCAGTGCGGCATTTGCACTGGCAAAGGCGAGGAGCTCGTTGGTATTGGTGCCTGTGGAGGCAAGGGTACAGGGGCGCTCTTCCAGTGTCTCCAGGTCATCACCACTGCTTAGCTCCACAGTCCACAGCCCTGAGGGGCTGCCGCCCTCATCCTCCGAGGCCTGAGTCTGCCTGGAAACCTCAGCTGGCGCCGGCTCCACCACTTCCTCTGACTCCAGGTGACTGGTGGGTTGCAGAGTGGGGGGCCACCTTTGATCGGGTGGGCTTTTCTGTGGCTCCCCAGAGCTGTCATTAGCCCTGGGGCCATTCTCTGGGGAGGCTGGCTTGGGTAGGGCCTGGCCCTCTGCCAAGGTGGAGGCTGAGGTTCCAGGGACCTCCTCAGATTTTTTATCTGGCTCCGAGTCGTTATCTGAGAAGTAGGCAGAGTCTCGATAGGAACTCTGGGCGCCAGAGGCAAAGGTCTGTGAGGTGTCTTCCGCACTCTGGGGGCCATCGCCCGCATCTGAGATGACGATCACTGGGTTGGGAGGTAAACTGCCAGCACCGCTCAGACCACCATCACCAGCGGCAGCTGAGGCAGACTCAGAGGGACCCTCGGGGACAGGGTGCAGGGTCCACTCGGGGGACTCCAGGTTCTCTGTTTCATAGCCGCTATCAGCTGGCTTATCAGGGGGCGGGTGTTTCTGGGGTGTGTGGGAGCCTAGTGATTCCAGTAAGGCTTCATGGACATCCACGGAGTCTAAGGAGTCTGGGGTCTCCACTGGCTGCTCGGAAGCTGGGAGGGGGACGGACAAGCTGTCTTCCAAGAGGCTGTCCTGGCTGGTGGAGTCAGAGGAAGCAGAAGCCAAGCCCATGTCTTTTGTGGCATCTTTATAACTGAGCTGATTCAAAGTCTTAATGGCCTCTGTGTTTTTCTCCAGCATGTGGGCACTGTGACTGTCTTCCGGCAGTGGCTGATGTTCCGAGTCCGGTATCAACTCTGGAAGACAGTTCCCTGTATTCCCCTGAATCTCAGTGATGTCACCCATGGAAGTGGAGTCCATTTTGGTTGGTCTCAAGGCCTCTTGGCTTTGGCAAGTAGAGTGTGGGGGGGTGTGGTCCCCGCAGTGGGATTTGGCATTGGGAGAGGGGATCTCCACTGGGGTAGTCCCCAAGTCCTCACAGAGGCAATCCTCGGGGGCGCTGACATCGCAACATGCTGTTTTAGTTGTTCCAAGCCTTGGAAGTGAATCTGGGGGGCCACCGGGAGGGGTTCCTTCCGTGGTGAGGGAGGTGAGAGGTGCCCGCACTTCCGGGGAAGATGGCACCGAGGGACTCCATGTGCTATCTGAGACCCCGGCTGCAGTGTCACCCTTGGTGCTTCTGTATTCCCGTGGCACTGGCAAGCTGGGCGTACTGGCAGCAGAGCCACGCTCCACACTGGGGGAGTCTGCACTGATGAACCCCGCATTCCTGAGCTCTGTCTGGAGATCATCCCCTTTTGCCTCGCTATGCCATGTGTCTCTCAGTAAGTGTCTCTCCTGAAGAAACAGGAAGTTCTCTGACAGCTCATCAACATTCAGTGGGTCAAAGTGGTCTGGGTGCAGAACACCTTCTGATGAGCAGAGAGGCTCCTGGTCGAACAGCTTTGGGGGCCTATCCTTGTTGGGGTGGCAAGTGTCCTTGGGGTCATGCCAGTGGGAACCCAGGGGGGCCGGCCTCACGCTGGCCTGCACTCCGTCCAGGTCCATGAGGTCAAAGAGCTTTTGGTGACTGGGCACGCGCTGGGCAGCGCTGACCTCACTGAAGAGACTGTTGAGGGGACTCTCGGGGGCGCTGGGGGCAGGTGGGCCCTCGGCGAGGCCCAGATCTTTGGGGTCGGCGCTGTTCTGGAAGAAGTCCTCATCAGTACTAGACTCCTCAAACTCAACGCTCTTGAGGGCCTTAAACTGGGGCACTTCGGCACCCAGCCGTTCTGGGTTATCCATTTCTGTTGTTAGCAGAGCAGGTGGATAATCGAGCTCCAGGTTGCTACCACTTTTCTCTTCGAGTTGGATGTAATAGTCACTTCCCACAGAAAGATTGTGGGCATCGAACACGGGCACCACCCCAGGGGCCCGGAGTGGAACCTCCTGGCCACTGCCATCTTGCTTTCCTGGCCCAGGATCTGAGAGTGAACTCTCAAACACATCAACTGGAAAGAACATGCTGGAGTAGGACAAGGTTTCATCTGTGTGGCCCCGGCCATGCTCATCAAAATGGTCATGCTTGGCGGCCTCCCAGACATACTCAAAGCTCAGCCCCTGGCTCGTTTCTGTCACCGTGAGGACCTCCTCCATCTCCCGACCCAGCCGGTCCTGGGCGAAGGGGTCAAGGATGGGAAAGGCAGCATTACTGGACGTGCTGCTGGTGTTGGGCTTGAGGGCAGCCCACTGCTGCTCGAAGTCCACCTCGGGGCCCCGCTGGCTCTGCAGCCGCAGGCATGTGAGCAGCCGGTGCACGTGCTCCACCGCCGGCCTCTTGTCTGGGGACAGCCAGCAGAGCTGTAACACCTCATACCTGCACGGCGCAGAAAGAGAGAATGCATTAAACGGTCACAAACTCCTGAAAATAAGAAAGACTTCAACGCCAACCCCTGTAAAAGTCTCTATACCATCATTACAGCTAGCCATCCATATTAAGGCACTCGTTCAGTTACTTTGATTTTTTTTTTTTTTTGTGATTCTGGGGATGGAAGCCAGGGCCTAGTATATGATGCTGGGTGCTCTGCAGAGCCACACCTCAGTTTTCCCCACAATCCTGAATTACTCTATTTGGTGGTAATTCAGAGGCCAAGGTTACTGCAACTAAGCTCTACTGTAGCTCAGGGTTTCCTAGGACCATGAATGGTGCTGAGGTAGACAGGTCATCAGGAACTAACTCTGGGAAAGGCTGGCTGACCAAAGTCAACATTAGTGTATTTGTGTGTGTGTGTGTGTGTGTGTGTGAGCCACTTCTGAGGCTTGAACTCAGGACCTAGGCGCTGTCCCTGAGCTTCTTCACTGAAGGTGGGGGCCATAGCTCTACTGCTGGCTCTTTGGTGGTTAACTGGAGATAAGCTGGGCATCAGTGGCTCATGCCTATAATCCTACTTAGGAGGCTGAGATCTGAGGATCATGGTTCAAAACTAGGCCTGGACAGGAAAATCTGTGAGACTCTTAATCTCTAATTAACCATCAGAAAGCCAGAAGTAGAGCTGTGGGTCAAAGTGGTAAAATACTAGCCTTGATCAGAAGAGCTCAGGGACAGTACACAGGCCCCGAGTTCAAGCCCCTTCCTCCCCACCCCCCCACCCCCCATATACACAGAGTTACCCATTACTTTCCTACCTGGGCTGGCTTCAAATTGCGATTCTCAGATCTCAGCCTGCTGAGTCCTTAGGATTGGGGTGGGTCACTTGCACCCAGCAACATCTAAACTTTTGTTAAAGCATTTTCAAAGATAGTACTAAAGGGGCTGGGAATGTGGCTTAGTGGTAGAGTGTTTGCCTAGCATGCATGAAGCCCTGGGTTCAATTCCTCAGTACCACATAAACAGAAAAAACCAAAAGTGGTGCTGTGGTTCAAGTGGTAGAGTGCTAGCCTTGAGCAAAAGAAGCTTAGGAACAGTGCCCAGGCCCTGAGTTCAAGCCCCAGGACTGGAAAAAAAAAGATAGCACTAAAATTTAACAAGATATTATTTCTAAAGTTAGTCTTGAATAATGTACAAATTATTTTTTTTTGGTCGGTTGTGGGACTTGAACTTTGGGCTTGGGCGCTGTTCCTGCGCTTTTCAGCTCAAGGCGAGTGCTTTACCGCTTGAGCCACAGTGCCACTTCCAGTTTTTTAGTGGTTTATTGGAGATAAGAATCTCATGAACTTTCCTGCCCGGGCTGGCTTTGAACTACGATCCTCAGATCTCAGCCTCCTGAGTAGCTAGGATTACAAGCGTGAGCTACTGGCGCCTGGCTTAAATGATTGTTTTCCATAATACTCATCATTTCAAATAGGGACTTCTTAAGAATTGACACCCCTGGAAACGTGATTCCTTTGCTGAAGAGGACAGAATGTGAAGCCACGAACCATTGATCTGAAAATGGCTGTTCCAGCTGGGGCTTCGGGAGTTTTGTCTCCCTCTCTCTAATGACTTGGTTGAGAACGTCCAGGTCAGACAAATTTGTGTAGGGCTGGGAAGCATTGTCAAAGAGCTCCCAAAGTGTCACACCCAGTGACCTGCGGGAAACAGAACACAGCATAACACCTTCAGTTTGTTAACATGCTAGCACAGTTCTCAAATCAGCATTCAACATTGGAAGAGCAAAAGCAGAGGCATTGCCATAAAAATCAGAATGCAAGCCTGGAGGTGAAGGCTCTCTGAGTTCAAAATCCAGTATCAATTTGTTATATGACAACTCTATGAGTCTAGCATGATTATAGGGATGAGGTAAAATGTATGGAGACAATAGAAATACTCTGGAATCAGAGGAAAACCCATACACAACATCTATAAACACCAGAAAGTATCTTAGAGAACCCTTCATATGAGCAAAAATTCTGAAGTTCCCCGTTAGAGCCACGCGTTTCCTGTCTACATCTCCTATTCCTCGGCATTGGGGCGCTTTGAAGCTGTCCAGTGCCAGAAGAGGCCTGGGGTTTTTGTGACTGTGGTGGGACATTCCCCCTCTGAGCCTGTGAGGCCTGCTTTCATGCTCGGTCCTGTCTCCGTGAGAATGGCCTCAGGTGCACAGGTCCAATGGAGCTCCTTTCTTTCTTGTCTTTAGTCTTTTGCATTGCCTTCTAGTCCTATCTTCCAGAAACAGCTACTATCTATTGCACAGCCTGCTGTAAGCAAAAAAGCCGAGCAAGAACAAGAGGCCCTGAGTTCAAGCACTAGAACTAGAACTACCTATCTACCTACCTACATACTCACATACATAAATGACTTCTGGGATAAAAGTAAAAGCTTTTTCCCAACAGTAACATAACTTTGGGCAGATGTAGTTAAACATAACTGAAGTACAGTAAATTCCTTATACTACTCAGGAAAGATGGTTAAGAAATTAGTTAACATTAGATTAATTGAAGGACATGAAAGATATAATTTCTAGGGTAACCAAAAAAAGCATCTTCCCAACAAGAGGGGGAAAAAAAGTTTTTAAAAGACCAACCCAAAAAAGGTAAAAGGAAGGGAAAACAGAAAAAACAGAAAAGCATCATTAAAAAAATGCAGCTATCAGTTAAGAAAACTGTGATTAAAATTATGGAGTCAAAGATAAAGGCACACCTCTTGAGCATCCATTAAAATGATCGCATATAAACCACAGCATTATATAACAGCCCAAACCTTTTCTGGTTCTCTCCTCACCTCTATGTTTGCTTAGTGAGCATCTATTCCACACCAGGCCCCAGGCGGGCACAGAATGTACCTGACCTGGCTCTCTGCATTTAGGGAGAAAGGTGGGGAAGTGAAGGACATGAGCACACTTGTGTTAATAGCTCTGCTGTCCCACAAGTGTCTCACCCATCGGCACCCTTTGTTTCCTACTTCTTGCAGTCCCTCTCCTGCTCAAAGATAAGGCAGCCCTGGCTACCAACGATACATACCAGATATTACTGTACTTAGTCTGATCCGCAGTGAGCAGTCTGTCTTGGAAGCTAGTTACTAATTCTGGAGCAGTCCATCGAAGAGGGACAATTTTTTTATCATCCGTCTCAATGTAATCCTCCTGTGTGGTTGGAAAGCACTGAGTTTTCATGGAATTATACTAGTGGTGAGCATAATACAATTCCAAGACATTCAGAAAACACGTCCCTGGCCACAATATCAATCAGAACAAAGTGGGAATCTTTGGGAAGGGGAGCATGAGGTGTGGCTTGGCAGCCACGTGGGCTTTACGAGATGGGTGCTGAGCCCCAGAGTGAATGCTTCCCCTTCCTGGGTAAGGACTAAGCACACTGCCCTTTCAGCACTGACCAGGGGCTGTGCTGGCTAAAGCATAGGCTTAAGAGCTCACGCCCTGGGTCATGGGTCCTCACTCCACCATTCACCAGTGATGCAAGGCTGGGCTAGCTGAAGACCCAGACCTTGTCTTTACCTACCTACATGGGATGGGGGTAAGGGCTGATGCTGGCTCCACCTCAGTGTCAATATGCTACCTCACAGTGCTTGCTGCACAGGAAGCAACAAAACACTGGCAGCAATGGCAAATAACCCACTTACAGTTACACAACATGCCTTGAAAACATCCAACTGGGCTGAAGGAACACAGATGATCAGTTGACCTGCTTTCTTTTTTGTGTGTGCGCACGCACATATGCAAGTGCACCAGTACTGGGGCTTGAACTTAAGGCTTGGACACATTGTTCCTGATCATTTTTGCTCAAGGCTAGCACTCATTCTGCCACTTGAGTCACAGTTCCACGTCTGCCTTTTTGGTGGACAGAAGTGGGAATCTTTGGGAAGGGTTCCCACTAATTGGAGAGAAGAGTCTCATGGACTTTCCTGTCTGGGTTACTTTGAACCATGATCCTCAGCCTTCTGAGTGGCTGGGATTATAGGCATGAGTTACTAGCACCTGACTTTTTCTTTCTTTTTTTTGGGGGGGGGAGTGGGGGTGTCTGGTCGTGGGGCCTGAACTCTGGGCCTGGGCGCTGTCCTTCAGCTCTTCAGCTCAAGGCTAACGCTCTACCACTTGAGCCACAGCGTCACTTGTGGCTTTTTTTTTTCTCCCTCTTATGTGGTACTGAGGAATCAAACCCAGGGCCTCATGCATGCAAGGCAAGCGCCTACCACTGAGCCACTTTCCCAGCCCCAAGCACCTGACTTTTATCTGCTTTCTCCAGGGGAATATGTAAAAGATACTAGAAAAGCTAGATTTTAAATTTACTGACTGAGCTTAAATTTTTACTGCAATGTAATAGATAACTGTTTATATGACATATATTTTATTATTCAGATAATAATTGTTAGAGTTCCTGTGTTCATTCTAGATTTTATTTACTTATTTGTTATTTGCGTTGTTCTTAGGGCCTGAAACAAGGTCTTGACGCTATCCCTGAGCTCCTTTGCTCAAGGCTAGTGCTCTACCACATTGAGCCACAATGCCACTTCCAGTCTTCTGGTAGTTAACTGGAGGTAAAAGTCTCACAGCCTTTCCTTTCCTGGGCTGGCTTTTAACGGTGATCCTCAGATCTTAGCCTCCTTAGTAGCTAGAATTACAGGCATGAACCACTGGTGCCTGGCTCATTCTAAAATATATTATGTGCCATCAATATCAAGTACAATTTTTTTTTTGGGGTCCAGTTGTGGGGCCTGAACTCTGGGCCTGGGCGCTGTCCCTCAACTCTTCAGCTCAAGGCTAGCACCCTACCATTTGAGCCACAGTGCCACTTCCGGCTTTTTTCTTATGTAGTGCTGAGGAATCAAACCCAGGGCCTCAAGCATGCAAGGCAAGCGCTCTACCACTGAGCCACCTTCCCAGCCCCAAGTACAATTTTTATAGACAAAGAAACTGGAAAACTGTCACAGAAGGTGGTACACCAGCACTGACCCAGACAAACCATACACAGCACCATGAAGGTGACTGGAACAGACTCTGCTCCTAGGAGCAGGATCTCCATATCCAAGGCTTTTACCCTTTCTTCCAAAAATGGAGTGACATTTCTGAGATGCAACTCTACAACTGAAACTAAAATGGATTAGGGAGACAGCATTTAACCCGTGGCTTACCTTGTACCTGCTGAATCCTATTCCATAATCCCCTACTTTCACGTTTAAGTCGGAGGTCAGAAAACAATTCCGCAGGGCTAAGTCACTGCAAAGATAAAGGACAAGGTGACCACAGGAATGAGGATCTAGAACTGGCACAAGGCAGGCCTAGCCACAGACAGAGACTTCCCCTAGGAATCACAATCTGTGACTAACAATGTGTAAAATTCCGTCATAGAAAGGGAGTTACTACTCTATTCCCAAGTACTTCACAGAGATGACTGAGCACTGAACACCCAGTGAACAAACTGACTGCCAGGCTAACTACACCAACCACCCCTGCACCACATTCTGCTCTACAAAATTAAGATATAGGGACTGAGGCCTAGTGTTTCAATGATCAAGAAAACATTCTAAAATTCGAAGCAGTTAAATTGTTTGAATTTTTTTTTTACAAGTAAGTTAACAGACTATTCGTTGTATGTAAAGGTTAAGGGGAGTTTTTTTTTTGTTTTTGTTTTTGTTTTGGCAGTCGTGGGACCCATACTCTGGGCCTGGATGCTATCCCTCAGTTCTTCAGCTCAAGGCTAGCGCTCAACCACTTGAGCCACAGCGCCACTTCCTGGTTTTTCTGCTTATGTGGTGCTGAGGAATTGAACCCAGGGCCTCATGCATGCAAGGCAAGTGCTCTACCACTGAGCCATCTTCCCAGCCCCCAACCCGTATTTTTGAGTGGTGATTTTCAGGACACCATCCCCAAGCTTTTAGTCCTGTGGCAGTGTCTGGGGAGGACTTTGGGACACACTTGGACATTATCATTACCACTATGGAATCTTCCAGTCTTAAGAAGAAAATGGGCTGGGACAATAGCTCAGTAGCACAAAGAATACTTTCCTGGCATTTGAGGGCCCTAGGTTTGATCCTCCAGTACCACAAAGAAAATTAAAAAAATAGGAAAATGGGGAATAAGTACCTACTTTTTGGAATTAAGGAAAGGGCAGGGAATGGAAGGGGAGGAGGAAAGGAAGGAAGGAAGGAAGGAAGGAAGGAAGGAAGGAAGGAAGGAAGGAAGGAAGGAAGGAAGGAAGGAAGGAAGGAGGAAGGGAAGGAGAAAGGGAAGGAGGGAAACACACCAGTGGGCAGAAAAAACACAGAAGTCAGGTTTCTTGTCCACAGAACTGAGTGTAGCCACGTAGCTTTCACCAAAAGGTGTGGTCCTTATGGTGCACACATACAGATCTGACCTAATAGTTCCAACATCTCCCTTTTGAGACCAAGATTAAAGGCTGGATGCCCTCATCCCAGTGTGTCCCCTTCAGAGCTCAGAGCCATTTACTTTTTTTGTGCTAATTCTAGGGCTTGAACTCAGGGCCTGGGCTCAGTCCCTGAGCTTTACTGCTCAAGGTTAGCACTCTACCACTTGAGCCACAGCTCCATTTCCACCTTTTTTGATAGTTTACCGAAGATAAGAATCTCATAGACTTTCCTGCCCCAAGCTGGAAGGAAAGTTCCTCAGATCTCAGCATCCTGAATAGCTAGGATTACAGGCATAAGCCACTGGCACCAGGCCCATTTACTTTTTATTTTTCCAGTAGTACTGAGATTCGTTTTACTACTTGAGCTACACACATTCAGCCATTTAGGTGGTCCTCTTCTGTCCTCTTATGAAAGTTCAGGCTATGTGTCAAGACAGGGTGGTGTGAAGATGTGAGGGCTGAATGGAAGATGAGCAATGTATGCCCAGAGGCCTTTGGTTATCATGCTAGCTGATGCAGAATCTTGGCAAGAAGGAGTGCTTCTCTATTCTTAAAACTCAGAACAGGAACAAGTGTCCTGGTGGGAAGAGATGCTTGCCAACTGTTCCCCACCTCTACCCAGCACTTCATGCCCCTCTCAGGCACCAGATGTCAGGAGGTGGGGAAGCTGATGCCCGCCACACCACCACAGAGTTGAGCAATACCGGGCGAATCATGGGCATGTGGAGTCTAAGTTTCTTCACCAAATGACAGGGATGCACAGAAACAAAGATTGTAAAAATAAAAATGCAATGTGTTGGACATGTTCAAAGTGTTACAGGGATTCAAGGCACAGACATAATTGGGCTGAAAACTGGTAACACTATTTTCTGCAGTCAGAATCATGTGCCACTGCACAGGTGAGTCCATGTCAAGGCTGCCCTGGCAAAAATACAAACACAGCCAGCACATTTTCCTCTGGTTGAAAAGCAGATCTAGGGACAAGGCTGCCCGAGCTCCCACCTGCAGAGCTCTGGGAAGGTGCTGGCTGGTCACTGGCAGCATTTGTGTGGGTTCCAGGACACAGGCCACAGGCCACAGGATGCAGCAGAGCACTGGCTTACCCAGGCAAATCCAAACTGGAGCTCCCCCGTCCCTCTCTGGAGGGATTCTGCAAATGGCTCTAGGTACCTGGCCAGTTCAAATAACCACACCTCTGTTAAGAGGAAGCTAATGGCCCAGCAGGGAAGATCTTTTCTAAGAAGGGTCTCCATTCTGTAGAAGACACACACCAAGAGTTGGACATGGAGGCCACACAGGCCACACTGAGAGGGACATGCTGTGCCCCCACCCCTGCCTATGGCAGTGGCAGGCTAACTCAGGGCTCTGTGCAGCCTCTGTGAACATCCCACAGGCAGGGCCCAGAGGTCCAGGAAGACTGTGCCCAGACCATTCTGGTGGGGTACAAGCAGGCTTCCCAAGTCTTACTGGGCAGTCCTTACCAGCTGAGTAAACCTCTTGTTTACTGAGTGCACAGGGTACATATTAGGTACTGGTGAGGCTCTGGATACTCAGAATTCTTCCACTGTGAAATTCTGACTAGACCCTGAGGAAAGTGCCTCTGGCTGGAGTGGGCTGGCTGCTGCTGGCTGGGATTTGAAGGTGGTGACAAAATAGGACAAAGCGTCCTGTGCGGGTTTTCCTCTGGGCTGGGTGGATGAGAGTTGGGTGCCCAGGTTAGCTTGTGCCCAACTGGCTTTGGCTTACACATGCAAAACTGGATGGAGGGGCTGGGAAGGTGGCTCAGTGGTAGAGCACTTGCCTTGCATGCCAGAGGCCCTGGGTTCGATTCCTCAGCACCACATAAGCAAAAAGAAAAAACCCGGAAGTGGCGCTGTGGCTCAAGTGGTAGAGTGCTAGCCTTGAGCTGAAGAGCTGAGGGACAGCGCCCAGGCCCAGAGTTCAGGCCCCACGACTGGACCAAAAAAAAAACAAAAACTGGACGGAACACATGGAGAACACTGTTTTCAGGAGCAGACAACAACCCATCTGAGGCTCTGATGTTCTTACCCTGCTGGGCCAGCCAGAAAGCTGCTTAGGTGTTATCTATACAAAGGGCAACGTGAGTCCCACGCGTTTCAGGACAAGATGGTCCACTCCTCAGTGTGGGTCACTGGTGGCTGGGCACGTGCCAACACCACAGACAGGATGTCACTCTTGGCAGAACTGGGGTTTCTGGGCCAAGCACCTCAGGCTCCTCCAAGACTACACCATAACCAGACTGGCTTGCAAGGTGAGCTACGCAGCAGCCCTGTCTAGCAATCTGAAGCTTCCCCTTGCGAACATTCCAGGTATAGATGTTTTGAAGCTATTCTAGTTCCCCCATCAACATTCTCACTTTTGTCCTGTTTGCCATTCCTTCAAATAATACTGAATAGTTTTGTTGGGTTTTTGTCTGTTTTGTTTCAGACAAGGGTCTGCAGTCTGAGGCCCAGGCTGGCCTCAAACACTTGTGATTCTTTTGCCTTAGGCTCCTGAGCCTCAGGATTATAGGTGTAAAATGCCATACCTGGCTTAAGCCCCACTTGAACTAGTTCCTTTCCCCAAAAGCCTTTCCTCATTTCTACCTGAGATATATCACAAGAGGAGAACACCTGATCTGGACATCAACTAATTATGTTCCATGCAGGGAACAGAAAAACTCCATCCACAGCCATCCCTTAGGCATCCCTCTTTGGTTGTCAGTACTGCCCTTTTCTTACCTAAACACTGGAAACTCTACCATGAAAGTGACTATGCACAGGAACATAAAATGCACTGGCATGCCCCATGCATAGGCATGCAGTTCCAGCTACCTTGCCCATTAGCAAGATCCCAAGGCCTTATCTCACGTGTTTCTACAGTCTAGCTTCCAGACATCTTCTTTCTTGTCTTCTGTGTACCTGTCTTATCACTGGGTCCACTGTACCTCCTTCCTAATGCTCCCTCCCTTTCCTTCCCTCTCCCCTCCAACATCCTATGCATCCTTCTCTGGCAATTTCCAAACTGCCTCCTTCCAGAAGTATGTATTTTATGTTCGATTCTTCAAGGACCATTGCAACACCACCTCCTTTTTTTCCCCCCCAGAGCTGAGGCCCGAACTCAGGGCCTTGCGCTCACCAGGCAGGCACTCTTCTGCTGAGCTAAACCCCCAGCCCCGCCACCTCCTTCTTCACAAGTCCTGCCTGGAGCTTCCAGACCAAAGTAGCTTCAGCCCTACACGCATGCACATGCCATTTGTGTCTGGGCCAAACTATTCATTCAGTTACTGGCTGAGACAAACTACTCCCCATTCTAAGCCTTAGTGTAGTGCTCTGTTAAGGTTAGAGACCACACCGGCCTCCTGGCTCGCAGGCTGTCCCAATCTGCACAATCAACAAAGCATTCACAGAATGTTCTGCAGGTGCTGGGAACACCTAGATCATCCTGCCAAAGGAGAAGACATGTTAACTCTCCTGTTGGGGATCTAGCCCAGGAACAGCTGACTTTAAATACACATACAACCTCATCTCTCCTCTTATCTGTCACAGATCTCTGTAGACTGTTCCATGAATACTCACTGAAATGATGAATTTAGTGTCTTCAATTTAACAACAAATCTAATCCACAAAAAGCCAAGAAAATTTAGAACTCCAAGGAGGATGAGGTCCAGCCTCATGATCAGCGTTGCCATGGCTCCTTCCCCTCCCTGCCCTGAAATCACTGAGTCTGTGAGGGAGGAGACTAAGAGCTCAGGGGCTTGACAAGCTCCACCTTCATCTGGGAATCAGTTTAGCCTGCCTTCCCGCTAGGGAAGACCAGAGCGTAGGCTAGGCTGCTACTCTCTTGTTCACCACCACCAAGTGTTGTGGGCTTCCCTACCTTGGACCCAGGCCTGGTGGAGGAAAGTCTGTTCCTATCATCACATGAAGATCTAGTTTCTTTCATTTAATACCAGTATTCGCCAAGCATTATCTTTGGCTTTGATTTAGTTGAATTAATTAAAGCAGAGTCATGCACACAGTTTTGGCCCTTAAAAAGACAACATTGAGTATGGCTCTGGTAGAACCCACCTGTAATCCTAGCTACTTAGGAAGCTGAGATCTAGGATCATGGTTCAAAGCCATCCAGGGAAGGAAAGTCTGTGGAGACTCTATTTTATTTTATTTTAGTCGGTGATGGGGCTTGAACTGAAGACCTGGGCACTATCCAAGTTCTTTTGCTTAAGGGTAGCACTCTTCCACGTTGATCCACAGTGCCACTTCTGGTTTTCTACTGGTAAACTGGAGTTAAGAGTATAACAAACTTTCCTGCCCAGGCTGGCTTTGAAACCTGATCCTCAGATCTCAGCCTCTTGATTAGCTAGGATTACAGACATAAGCCACCAGCACCTGGCCCTGTGAGACTTTTATCTCCAACTAACCACCCAAAAACACAGGAGTGGAGCTCTGGCTCAAGTGGTAGAATACTAAAACTATCAAGAACAGCGCCCCAGCCCTGAGTTTAAAAAAACAAAAAAACAACTCAAGCCCAGTGTGGTGGTACACATCTGTAATCCCAGATTTCAGGCAGCTGAAGCAGGAATATCATTGAGTATGAGACCAACTTGGGTTACTTCCTGGGTTGGAGTCTCAAAACACCAAAGCAGAAACCAGACACTGGTGGCTCACACCTGTGGTCCAAGCTACTCAGGAGGCTGAAAGCTAAGGATTGGGTTCAAAGCCAGCTCAGGCAGGAAAAGTCCATGAAACTCTTATCTCTGATTAACGACCACAAAAGCCAGAAGTGGATCTGTGGCTCAAGTGGTAGAGTGCTAGCTTTGAGCAAAAAGCTGAGGGATGGCACCCAAGCTCTGAGTTCAAGCTCCAGTACTAGCACAAAACAACAGCAACAACAACAAAAAACCCCAAAGCAGAAAAATAAACTAAAGATTAGACACACAACTGGGTGCCAGTGGCTCACACCTGTATCCTAGCTTCTCAGGAGGCTGAGATCTGAGGATTGCGGTTCAAAGCCAGCCCAGGCAGAAATGTCCGTGAGACTCTTATCTCCAATAAACCACTCAGAAAGCCAGAAATGGCACAGTAGCTCAACTGGTAGAGGACTAGCCTTGAGCTGAAGAGTGCAGGACAGTGCCCAGGCCCAGAGTTCAGGCCCCATGACCAAAACAAAACAATATTGGACACACAAGCTAAAGAAACTTAGTATCTGAAGCCCCCAGCCAGGGGTACAACTCTGGCTTGTTAGTAACGCCATTTCCAAGGTAATGTACATGCCACCTGACCTTAGGACTAACTCATCACTCCTCTACACTACCTGGCCATACCCAAAGGTTAGTGACTTCACTGTTCTCCAAACCTTAAAACCAGGCACTCCTGAGCACATCAGGCTCCTGGGCACATCACTGCCCAGCAGGCTCCCTGTGCCATCACCCCATACGTCTGGGCTTAGCTGTGGAAATCTCTAGGCCACCTGTGGTAATGTGGCAGTAATGGAGGCTTGCTGTGTAGCTGGCCTTCACAAATGTTGTGCAAGCCATCTCAGAATGCAGCCTGCCTGTGACGCAGAGATAAGCTCTTTTTTTGGGGGGGGGGAGAGGAGAGGGGCATTCCTGGGGCTTGAACTCAGGGTCTGGGCTCTGTCCCTGAGCCTCTCTTTGCTCAAGGCTAGCAGTCTACCACTTGAGCCACAGAGACACTTCTATAAGGCTCTTTTTTTTTTTTTGTCGGTCGTGGGGCTTGAACTCTGGGCCTGGGCGCTGTCCCTCAGCTCTTCAGCTCAAGGCGAGCGCTCTACCACTTGAGCCACAGCGCCACTTCCGGTTTTCTGGTGGTTTATTGGAGATAGGAGTCTCACGGTCTTTCCTGCCCGGGCTGGCTTTGAACCGCGATCCTCAGATCTCAGCCTCCTGAGTAGCTAGGATTACAGACGTGAGCCACCAGCGCCCGGCTATAAGGCTCTTTTTAAACATTCTATGAAAACAAACTTTAACTGGGGCAGTTTCCAGGGTGGCAACCACTTGAGGCTGGACAGGTGGGCTGTGCTATTTCATCCAAGGCAGGAAGTCCCACTTTGAGCCAACTTAAAAAGGTGCCATATGGAGGCGACCCACATAAGAACTGAAAATGTTGCCCACATGGCTACTTTTGAAAATGAAATCAAACAGCTGTTGCTAGTTGCCAGGAGTTTCTTTACTTTGGGCTTTTATATTTGAATATAATCTAGTCCATGTGATTTAGTTTATTATCTCTGTTTTAAAGTCTACAAGAATCTAAATTAGGTAAAACTTTAACCTAAGGCAACTCATGGGAAAGTACTATTTATTTACTGTGATGTCTTGGCCAAACTTAAAATGTAGTAATGTGAAGGCAGTGCACTGGGCTCTGCACACATCTGACTGACCTGGCTAACTTCTGTTCCTGTCTCCCATGCAACACACCCTGAGCCTTCTTCACATTTCAAAGTCCCTAAAACCAATAGTAGGCAATAATTATTTGTATATAATAAAAAACAACAGTACAAACGTGTTAGATACCCATGTTATTTTTTTTTTGTCTTTTCTTTTTTGGTACTGGGGATTGAACCCAGGACGTTGCACTTGCTAGGCAAACGCTTTGCCACTGAGCTACATCCCAGCCCCCCATGTTATATTTTTAAAAACTCAAAGATTAAGATATAGAACATCTACATTATAAGATGAGTAGATCTTTAGATTGTGAAGTTTTGTGCAGAGGATTTTGCCTTCTCTTAAGAAATCCATAACTGGGGGGCTGGGAAGGTGGCTCAGTGGTAGAGCGCTTGCCTTGCATGCCTGAGGCCCTGGGTTCAATTCCTCAGCTACCACATAAGCAAAAAGAAAAAAGCTGGAAGTGGCACTGTGGCTCAGGTGGTAGAGCGCTAGCCTTGAGGCTGAAGAACTGAGGGATAGCGCCCAGGCCCAGAGTTCAGGCCCACTACCGGACACCCCCCCCAAAAAAAGAAATCCATAACTGGGGCTGGGAAGGTGGCTCAGCGGTAGAGTGCTTGCCTTGCATGCATGAGGCCCTGGGTTCGATTCCCCAGCACCACATAAAAAGAAAAAAGTCGGAAGTGGCGCTGTGGCTCAAGTGGTAGAGCACTAGCCTTGAGCTGAAGAGCTGAGGGACAGCGCCCAGGCCCAGAGTTTAGGCCCCACAACAGGACCAAAAAAAAAAGAAATCCATAACTGCTCAAGCCTGTAATCCTACCTACTCAGAAGGCTGAGATCTGAGGATCATGGCAGGAAAGTCTGTGAGGCTTTTATCTCTGATTAACCACCAAAAAGCCTGAACTTCTATACACAAACCCATGACCTAGACTTTAAAACAATGCTTCACTTGCTGTTCTAAGCCAAGCCTGATATGGATGTGTATGCCAAGGCTAATGTCCTCCCTCTCTTCTGTCTGAAGTAATGCTGGCTCTCTGATAGGAGTGCATGCCTGTTACACCAACCCCCCCCCCCCACCAGAGGTTTGTATTCCTTTCTGTTCTCAGACATGGTCCATACTCCTGCCTCTGCCTTCTGAGTGCTTCATGATGTGTTTCCATCATAAAAATGGAGATAGACTATAAATGTATTTGAGATTTGCTTTGTGAACATACTGTACTTCACATACACCTCCTCAAGTCAAGGCACAGGTCTTCCTTTTCAGGTTTTTACATTGTTACATAACTTACTAAAAGTCAACTGAAGTGATGATGCTTGTTTTCCCCAGAGATGCAAGAAAAAAAATTTTACACCTATCTTAAAACATAAGAGCTCAAAGCCTAGTAATGACTGGTAGAAATCTCCTTTCCCTGCATAGAACAACTCATCATCTGAGATAGGACTCAAAGGTGCTGGGTGTTTTAACTGTGAAAACCGCCATCATCACTGTAAAGCATGCAGGCTGGCCCTGAGGAGTTCCACAGTTGTGAGTCATGCAGGTTCCATGAGGCGCTCACCTCCCGTCCCTGGTCATCTCCACAGGCACTCAACCTCCCTGCCTCCCTCAGATCCTTCCTATCCATGACCCTCTATCTCTGAGAAGGCACCTGAAGTCAAGCGCCTTCTGCTGGTCAGAAACCAATGCCATGACCTTGTAGAAAAAGATGCTGGTGGCCTACAGTCCCCCTCTTCTCTCAGGGGTGCACACTGGGACACACTATAGGCCTGGGCATTTAAGACTACGGCTGACACAAAAGGATACACAAGTGACATGTCAGAGAGACTAGAAGAGTTGGCTCCCTACATACTTTGAAATTTTAGAAACATTTTCCAGACCTTAGGCTATGTTGTGATATTTTGTATTGCTTTCAATGGAGCCCAACAAAGCCCTTGCTACTTGCCTAAGTAAACACTTTCTGCTGCAAATGGTCCTTGGTGTCCCTTCCCAAACTGCCCAGCCTCTTTGGGCCCCCATCATGACACGTGATGCACACTCATGTTCAGCCAGACCCACCTGTGCAGGAAGTGCAGCTTATGCATGGCAGCCAGCCCTGCGGTGATCTCACACGCCATCCTCTGCAGCAGCATAGTCTGCGAGTCGCCACGCATGTGCTCATGCTCATTGCGCAGGTAAGCCTTCAGATCACCCTGCAAAGACCAGTCCACATAAGTGCCAGCCATGTGCAAGCAAACCCACTGGCAGACAGGGGCCTTAGTTGGCACAAACTTAAACACTAAAATGACTCCAGAAACTACATAGGCTGGCACTCAGTAAACAATCTCTGGGTTGGGGATAAAGCTCAGTGGAAGAGTACTTGCCTAGCACATACCAGCCCCTGGGTCGATGCAAGCACCACAAAAAAATAAAACAAATAAAAATTTCAGATGGAGCAAGTCTTCACATTAGGAAAAGTAATAATGCACCTTTTAAAAATTCACTTATCTGTCTTTGGGAGGGTAAGGGTAGGCACAGCAATGGAGGAACCAAGTGTGAACAAATGCAGCAGTGGTATGCACCAGATACTACATGGAAAATGAACCACATATCTTGTGGGTAGGGACTGCAGGGAAAAACTAGGAGAGCAAAGGAAGGGAGTAACACTATCCCAAAAGAAATGTATTCATTACCTGACTTATAAAACTGTAACTCCTCTGCATATTACCTTTTTTTTGGTAAGTTGTGGGACTTGAACTCTGGGCCTGAGCACTGTCCCTGAGCTCTTCAACTCAAGGCAAGCACTCTACCACTTGAGCCACAACGCCACTTCCATGTACATTACTTTTTTTTTTTTGGTCGGCCGTGGGGCTTGAACTCTGGGCCTGGGCGCTGTTCCTCAGCCCTTCAGCTCAAGGCGAGCGCTCTACCACTTGAACTACAGCGCCACTTCCGGTTTTCTGGTGGTTTATTGGAGTTAGGAGTCTCAAGGTCTCTCCTGCCTGGGCTGGCTTTGAACCGCGATCCTCAGATCTCAGCCTCCTGAGTAGCTAGGATTACAGACGTGAGCCACCGGCGCCTGGCTCATGTACATTACTTTTATCTAAACAATAAAAAAAACTAAAGTAATAACAATCCAGTATTCCAAGGCATACATTAAAGATGTATATCAGTGGCTCACACCTATAATCTTAGCTACTCAGAAAGCTGAGATCTGAGGATTGTGGTTCAAAGCCAACCTGGGCAGGAAAGTCTGTGATACTCTTATTTTCAATTAACCACTGAAAAGCCAGAAGTGGAGCTGTGGCTCAAGTGCAGAGCACCAACTTTGAGTGAAAAAGCTCAGGGACAGCACTCAGACTCTGAGTTCAAACCCCAGTATTTACATTCACACAGACATACGGACACACAGACACACACAGACACACACAGACACACACAGACACACAGAGCATACATTATGATGCTTTTAGGGCCATTCTAAGCAAGATCATGTAAAGTAAACCAGTAAAGAAAATATAAGTCGGGCGCTAGTGGCTCATGTCTGTAATCCTAGCTACTCAGGAGGCTGAGATCTGAGGACCTCGGTTCAAAGCCAGCCCAGGAAAGAAAGTCCATGAGATTCTTATCTTCAATTAACCACTAGAAGACTGGAAGTGGAGCTGTGGCTCAAGTGGTAGAGTGCTTGCCTTGAGCTGAAGAGCTGAGGGTCAGCACCCAGGCCCAGAGATCAATCCCCCTGACGAAAGAAAGCAAGAAAGCAAGCAAGGGGGGGGGGAGGAAGGAAGGAAGGAAGGAAGGAAGGAAGGAAGGAAGGAAGGAAGGAAGGAAGGAAGGAAGGAAGGAAGGAAGGATCGATCTTACAATAGCAGAGAATTAAACTAAATGCAGAACAGAAGTCTCAAAACCCCCAAGAGACCTGTGGCCAGCCAGCTTCATCACACATGCCAGTGGCCATGACATTGCATGGAAGAGCAGCAGAGAGTGAAGGAAAGAAAGAATGAAGAGGAAGGAAGCTCCTCAAGGCTGGTAAGCTCAGGTAACTCTGAGCTTTTTTTACCCAGGGCCTATGAGCCCAGAGACCACTGTGAGAAAGAGGGGAACAGCCAGGGCTGCTCAGGTGGGACCAGATCTTGCCTGGTGACCTGTATCACCTGTCTGGAGGAGTACACTTTTGAGGAAATAATACTGTTCATATTCTCTTTCTGACATGAGTAAGTGCTGGCTAATGTGACTTTATTCCATATGAAAGCCTTTACTGATCAGGTAATGAAACGTAGAAAACAAAGCAATACCCTTGCTTTTTCTTTCAATTTGAATTGAGGAAAGACTCAGAGGATGGATGTTTTCCTTGACCAAAACTCAAGGGCATGTTGTTGTTTTGTTGTTTTTTGTTTCCTCTGTATCCCCTTCAGTGCCTACAGTGCACAGGGAGAGACCAGGCAATGGTTCGGGGCCACAGTTTGCTTTGGCATGATACTGAGAAGCCCAGGGGGATGGGCCTGCCATAAATCCAACCTACACATTCAAGGACACATTTCTTATGACTGACCAGAGAGCGCTGACCAGTGGACTCCTCCCAGGCTGGAACTTTAACCACACGCCCACACTTAATACGGAGTGCATTGTAACCGCACTTCCAGCCCCATGCTAGGGGTTGGTGCGTGTTTGCCCTGGCCTCCGGTTCAGTCACCTGTGCACTTGCTGTGCCAATAACACATTGGCTTCTTGTTCTGCCACCATCACCACCTGAGAAGCTCTCATCATGTTCAGGGCTCTCTGGGTCTGCAGAGGAGCAGTGCTCTTCTTCAGCAACACCCAGTACCACCCAGCCCCCAGCTCACAGCTCTAGTTCCCTTGGGTTCCTTTGCAAGCATCTCATTGTCTCATTTCACCATCAAGGAGAAGGAGACACATTGGTACCTCTTCCCCCACTTTATTTTTTTTTATTTTTTTTTGGGGGGGGTCCAGTCGTGGGGCCTGAACTCTGGGCCTGGGCGCTGTCCCTCAGCTCTTCAGCTCAAGGCTAGCATTTTACCACTTGAGCCACAGCGCCACTTCCGGCTTTTTTCTTTTTGCTTATGTGGTGCTGAGGAATCGAACCCAGGGCCTCAGGTATGCAAGGCAAGCGCTCTACCACTGAGCCACCTTCCCAGCCCCCGCCCCTTTCCCCACTTTAAAAAATAAACACCCTTCAAATAGACTAGGCTTCAATCAGCTGTGGGAGTTCTGAGATAATTAAGTTAACCCAGATGAATTCAAAGTACTTCAGATCTGCAGGCGAATGGGCTTTCATGAAGTAGCCCACACAGAAACCAAACCCAAGGACAGCATCGGTGTACTGCCATTACAGATGATGGGGACACTTGAATTCTTTCAGCTGGCTATGCTTCAGCAACTCACCTACAGAAACAATTATTCTCTCCTGTGTGACACTGTGGTGATGCTGTAATAGATCTGGCCAATGATTAAACCCAACAGCTCCCACCCTACTGCTCTACCACCACAGGGTGACCTGTTCCTGCCAGAGCCCTGAGTGAGTGATCTGCAAGACTACAGAAGGTGGGGCCCAATCACTGCCCTCTTGGGTGGTACCCCAGTATATGTTCTAGACAGTTCCTCGAAGTGCTTAAAACCACATCTTATTATTATTATTTTTGTCAGTTGTGGGGCTTTAACCCTGGGCCTGGGCATTGCCCCTGATTTTCTTCAACTCAAGGCAAGCACTCTACCACTTGAGCAACAGCACCACTTCCAATTATTCTGGTGGTTAATTGGAGATAAGAGTCTCATGGACTTTCCTGCCTGGGCTGGCTTTGAACTGAGATCCTCAGATCTCAGCCTCCTGAGTAGCTAGGATTATAGGCATAAGCCACTATCACCAGACCAGGTACTACATTTTAAAAGAAAATCTTTAATTTTTTTTTTCTGGTCCTGGGGCTTGAACTCTGGGCCTGGATGCTGTCCCTGAACTTTTGCTCAAGGCTAGTGCTCTACCACTTGAGCAACAGCGCCAATTTCAGCTTTTTTTTTTTTTTTGAGTAGTTTATTGAAGAGTCTCACAGTTTCCTTCCCAGGCTGGCTTCAAACTGTGATCCTCAGATCTCAGCCTCCTGAGTAGCTAGGATTACAGGTGACACCACTGGCACCTGCCAAGAAAACCTTTAATTACAGTAAAAATCTTTGTAGTAACAAGTACTAAATACTGATTTGCTCTCTCTAGTCAGACACTGGATTAGTTCTGTTAACAGTGCTTAGGGAGTACACACAGATTAAATCTGGCAATGTTTTCTGAATTTGAATAGTTTACTTCATCCAAGTTTATAAAATTTCTCAGCAACTTCTCCAGCACCCCAAGGAACATTTCCCTTCTGCAACACTAGATGGCAGCACAGGGCCCCAGAAGAAGCCCTGACCCAGTAGCAGGGCACAAGGTTTCCCCCAAAGTGACTTCATTCCAACATGAAGACTGGGCTTCACCTAGAGTTCTTTTGTTTTTTGTTTTTTTTGGGGGGGGAGACCAGGGGTCGCTCATGGGGCTTGAACTCTGAGTCTAAGCACTGTCCCTCAGCTCTTCAGCTCAAGGCTAGCACTCTACCACTCAAGCCACAGGGCCACATCTGGCTTTTTCTATTTATGTGGTGCTGAGGAATGAAACCCAGGGCTTCATGCACATGAGGCAAGCACTCTACCACTGAGTCACCTTCCCAGCCCCCTATAGTGTTCTTGCAGGACACTGAGTGTAAGGAGCTCAACTGAATCCGAAGTAAAACACAACAACAAAATACCTTTGTAACTCAAAGACTACTGCACCACTCCCAATTCCTGCCTAGGTTCAGCCACCCTCTGCCCTCTACTCCAATACATCATCTTCTCCCAGCTCATTCACTCTTTTTTTTTTGCCAGTCCTGGGGCTTGAACTCAGAGCCTGGGCACTGTCCTTGATCTTTTGCTCAAGACTAGCACTCTATCACTTGAGCTACAGTGCCACTTCTGGCTTTTTCTGTTTATGTAGTACTAAGGAATGAACCCAGGACTTCATGCACTAAGCCACATCCCTAGCGTATTCACTGTTGTGGCCTCCCAAAACTCAGTCTCCTCGAGTCCGCCATCCCTCTCCATTACAATGCTTAAACAATCTTCCAAGCAACTATGACACAATCCAAACGTGTCTTCTGGCTCTACCAGATCCCTTCATGCTGGCCTACCATTT